ATCAGGCAGGGATTACCCATCCACTGATAGTGCCGACGCATCGAAAAGGAACATAGCGGTGCACTTACTTCAGTGCTACATATGCAGTACATATGAAGTGCGCTCCGCAGACGAAAACCGGAGTCCTAGTTTTGGACTTCGATGGCCCTAAACACGACATCGCAGCCCCGGTGAAAACCCCTTCTGTTGATCGATGGTATAGCCCGGCGGGTGGAAATAGCTACAGCTACGTCTGTGGCCCTATGACGGAAAAACCGCGTGGAGCGATTGCGGAAGGTACCACAAACTCACAGGGAAAACCTGGTGGGAAATGGAAACTGCTTACAAGCGTTGAAATTAAGAGACTTCAAGGATGTCAGAGAGGAGACCCTAAAATGAGATTCAGCAAGGAACAAGGCCTGAGACCTGGTGGAATGTTCCGGTGCTTGATTATCGCATCGAGGGTTCCACGCACTTGAAGATGTAAGTCGAGTTGCCCGACTACGTCGTCGTCTATTGTATGTTCGAACTCGAAGAAGGCCGATACGTCTACACTGGTGATGAAATCAGATATGAACAACCTATAACGAGCGACTATGATGAATGTTCAGTTGCCGTCTATTGTGCTGATCAATACTTATACTCGGTGCAAACTCATGGAAATAAGACAACGTTACGATTGCCACTGGGCACCGTGTGCTAACTCGAGTCTAGTGGATACGAAAGGGAAATAGAGATCCCACCAGCACCCAAGAAAAAAAGGACCCATCGAAGAAGTGGCTGAGGCTCAAACACCAGACTTCGGTAACTGGATGGGAAACATGGTGGCGGTCGCGTTCCACTTCCTGATTGGCCTTGTGGCCCCTACAGTGGAGACGTTGGCCCCGCTGGTAATAGGAGGCCTCGTGATCTATGGAAGCGCCGTGGCTGGACAGCTGAGTGTTGCTGTCATTACCGCCATACTCATCCTAGCATGGTTGCGGGGTGCTTTTGCGTGGCCCGCACAGATAGGAGGCGATCTCGCTGTTTTGGAATGTCTGTCACACGGAACAATGTGGAATGACCTCATAGTCTACCGATCAACTTTAACCGCCGTGAGGGTTAGTGGCCTAAGCAAGTGGCAAGTCGTATTCATGTTGTCGCATTTGTTTCGTGAACAACTGATTAAACTTCAGTCTGTTACCGTAACTGTTCATATAGCTGTTCTTTTGTCTTGTATTATCCTAGTATTCGACTCTTTGTTGCGACATTGATCGTTGCTTGCGAGTGCATTTCATCTGAACATGGCTATGCTCTCTTTGACTGGTGTTGAGATCGATGATGTTGTGAAACAACTGGTTAGTAGTAACGCTCTCTTGGTGGAGCCCTTCATAATGCCTTGCAACAACAATTGGCATCTGTTATTAATAGGGCTAATGCTGTGAGCCGCGACCCTAAGAAAGTCATGATTACCATCAAAGAACAACTTACAGCCGACGAGCAAATGACGCTTGAGCGTCTTTATCCGGAATTCAATTTTGACTTCCGTTTGTGTCTTAATAAGACTCATCCGATGGCGTCTGCTGTGCGTGTAGTTGAACATCATTTGATTATGCGGCGCTTGCATTACAGTCGTGCGGCCGTTGAAAACAATTATGGTTACGACAGTTTGATCTGTGATATCGGAGGAGATGTGGCTTACCATGTGCTTGAGAACAACGTTGGAGTTCACTGTGATTGTCCAGCTTTGGATCAACGTGATTCCGTGCGCTTTTATTCTAAGATCAGTCGTCTGAGGTCGTTTATTGTTGAACACGACAATGATCCTTTTGTGTCATCTAAGGACAAGGCGGTCATTGATATGTGCCGTGTCGTTGTTCGGGCAGCTAACGACAAATGCGTTGATACCGACGTCTTCTGTCGTAAGAAGGCGCAAGACTGTATGCGGACAGCTCGTTTCGGGATGCTCACTCCAATTATGATATTAGTCTGAAGAACTTGGCCGATATCATGTCTCATAAGAACATGGAGATGCTTATGGCACTTTCATCTTCATTCCCGAAATGCTTATCGCGCCTACAGGTCGTGTTTCGGCTTTGGGTGCTCGTTATGTGATAGATTCTGATGCGGATACTATCACCTTTATGTTTGAGGGTTGTTCTTCTTTTAATTATGTTCATAAATTTAGTCGTTTTGTATCTTACGTGACTGAGCATGTAGTGTACGATTCTGATCATAAGCGTCCTTATCTTCTGGAGCAACTTGAGAACCGTGGTGGTGTGCAGTACTTTAAACTTAACCGTGTTTTCGACGATGTGAGACCTGAAAAACTTCAACATTGTTTGTGGTTGGATTCTGTGAAAGACAAATACGTGGTGCGGTTCCATCGCATAGGCTATGACAGCCTCGCTACGCGATCCAAAAGAAACACCATGCCTATGATTTCTTGCGTGGCTGACACCAAACTTGTTGGTCGTATCATGAGTCAAGCTATGATGCAGTCTGAGAACAAGTTTAAACCGCTTGAAATTTTCGCCTATATCCACGCTTATTGTGGTCGCATATTCATAGGATCGGACATCGTCCTCAGACGCGAGCCTCTCACTCACGAGGTTCATTTCCTCATCGTACGTTGGTCGTGAGCTGGCTGCGTGTATTTCCTCAGGTGTACGGTTCTGCTTTTCTCGTATTCTCTGGTTTCTGGAGCACCGACTCTATTCAATCACACTATTATGGCTCGTGGTGCAAGAAAGAACCAATCAGACGAAAGAGGTGAGCAGGAAATACCTTTATGGGCTATGAGAATGATGGAGAGGTACGATGCTTGCGCTGAACGATTGGAAAAAGCGCTTTTGACATCGTTTGACAAGATGGTCAGTAAGATTGAAGAAATCAACATGCGGCAGGAGGAGATACTGGCC